CCACCCTAGTTCGAACTAGGGTGGTAATGTAGGCATACCGCACTTGCAAATGAAGCCCGGGTTTTAAATTTCCCGGGCTTCATTTGCATAAGCCGGCCGGCGCCATTTTTAAATGCCGGCTTCTTCGAACCCCGTGCCGCGTGTAGCCGCGCGGCACGGGGTTCGAACAAGCCGGCATTTAAAAATGGCGCCGGCCGGCTTATGCAAATGAAGCCCGGGAAATTCAAATTAATTTAAAAATTCGAACTAGCGGGGTAGTGTAGACATACCCATAGAGAGTTGGGTTTGCAATGAGTGGGAGAACCGTATGGTGACTTCCCTGCCTGGTCCGAAGGCTGCGGCTCTCTCGACATCTAGATAGACTTATGTGTAGTGCTGGGGAGGAGCTGGTGGTCATGGTACATGTAGGTACCAATGACATAGGGAAGAGTAGGAGAGAGGTTCTGGAGGCCAAATTTAGGCTGCTAGGAAGGAGATTGAAATCCAAGATCTCTTTGGTAGCGTTCTTTGAAATGCTTCCAGTTCCACGTGCAGGATCAGGTAGGCAGGCAGAGCTTCAGAGTCTCAATGCATGGATGAAATGATGGTGTAGAGAGGAGGGGTTTAGATTTATTAGGAACTGGGGACACTTTTGGGAGAGGGGTAGCCTATAAAGGAAGGATGGACTCCACCTAAACCAAAGTGGAACCAGACTGCTGGCACTTAACATTAAAAAGATTGTAGAGCAGTTTTTAAACTAAGGGCTGGGGAAAAGCTGATGAGTGCGGAGGAGCACATGGATCAGACAGACACATCTCTAAGGGGAGGGTCTATTAATAGAGATGTTCTATGTTCTAGTCAGGAGGAGAGGATGGAAGTATGGGTCGGAGCAGATGAGACAATCAAATAAAAAGTCTAATACATCAGGAAATGGCAGACAGATAAATAGTGACAAATTTTTAAAGTGCTTATACACAAATGCTAGAAGTCTAAATAATAAAATGCGTGAACTAGAGTGCCTAGTTTTAAAGGAGGATATTGATATAATAGGCATCACAGAAACTTGGTGGAATGAGGACAATCAATGAGACATAGTCAAACTAGGGTACAAAATATATTGGAAGGATAGAACAATATATAGGTGGGGGAGTGGCACTATAAGTGAAAGAAAATGTAGAATCAAATGAAGTAAAAATCGTAAATGAGCCAAAATGTTCCACAGAAACTCTATGGATAGTAATTCCATGCTCCAGTAACGAGAATATAGCAGTAAAGATATATTATTGACCACCTGATCAGGACAGTGATAGTGACTATAAAATGCTAAAGGAGATTAGAGAGGCTATCAAAATAAAAAACTCAATAATAGTGGAGGATTTCAACTATCCCCATATTGACTGGGTACACGTCACCTCAGGACGGGATGCAGAGATAAAATTTCTTGATACCTTAAATGACTGCTTCTTGGAGCAGCTCGTTCTGGAACCCACAAGGGCAGAGGCAATTCTTGATTTAGTCCTAAGTGGAGTGCAGGATCTGGTTCAAGAGGTAAATATAACTGGACTGCTTGTAAATAGTGACCATAATGTAATAAAATTTGCCTCCCTCTGGGGCACCTCATATTAGCCACTGGTGGCAGACAGGATACTGGGCTGGATGGACTGTTGGTCTGACCTAGTATGGCTGTTCTTATGTTCTTATGTTCTTTGAAATGAAGCTTTGTCACAGGGACTTCAGAATATTTAAAGGCAGTCAAGCTTACATGTAAATGTTGCAAACTATACATCGCAGCATAAGATATGGGCTTAGACCTGAATTACATCCATCTTCCCCAATGAAGTTTGGTGGATCCAATTTTGTTTTCTGCATGGTAGGTGGAACCATTTCCCTCCCTGCTCCCAAAAAACATTCTGGGATTAAAAATCCAAGCATTTGAACCTCAAATTACTCGGCTCGCACATTTGAGGCAAAGATGGGTGTAGCAAGGAGAGTGGAAAAGGTGGCCTTATGTTGCCTTTGCCCTCCCTGTAATGTATGTATCATTTTCTCTACCCCTCAACTCAGAGAACAGCCATTAGGCAGTGTGCTCTGTCCATGCCTCTGATCTATCCCCGATTCACTCTCTACCTCTCCAGGCATGTCCCCGATCATCCCTCTATGCCAGGAGCAAAGCTGGCTTAGAATTTCAACATTGGCTAGGGTCCCCCCTGCACTAAGATTTTATTGGGGATGCTGGTTCTATCCCCTCTATGGTCCCTTTCTGTTGCTAGGGTAACCAGGTTCTTGTGAAGTCACTGTGTACGGGGCCTCGCAAGCTGCCCCAGGCCCATTTAAGGGGTACAGTGGGGTGACAACGTCCCACAGGGACGATTCTTGCAGGAAGCTTGCCATGCTGTAGGGCTCTTTCTGTGACCTCAGCCCTGCATTTCTGAGGTAAATACTTTTCAAGGATCAAGGGCGGGGGTCACCAAAGGTCTGAGGGGGACCTGGTGTGAGAGAAGCTGTGTTGGGGATATTTGAGAGGAAAATCCTGCTCTATATGTATTATAAAAAAGGAAAAGTGAGCTGGAACTGACAAGAGAGGAGGAATTTAAAATGGCTGAACACTAGAGGTTGTTCTGTTTGATGCAGAGAGACAATATCGATAGAGATCACAATGCAGGAAGTTACAGACAGAAGTGCCGTGGTGGGTCTGCATTGGGAAGAAACAACCAAGAATTTTTTTATTAGATTTCTTTTGGTGCCTGTGAATGGGATTAGCTGCCAAAGTAATCATGGGTGGGTGTTTGCTAGTAAGGGAAGCATCTCATTGACTCAGAACAGTCGAAGAATCAGTATTGCTAACAGCACTGTCCAAAAATGAGGCATGAGACCCTCCAAAATCACCAGATTGGCTTAAAAATTTGAGTTTTAAAAAATCTGTTGTATGTTTTCTTTTCTTTCCCTTCTGGGATTTGAATTTTTATAGGGTTCCGGAATCACATTTTCTCTGCAACTTTTCTTTTTCTTTAAATGAAAGCTGAGATTTTCACTTATTCACTTTGGTCCAGGAGCTGGGGCATGCATCATAAAGCCAAGGATTGCGAGAGCTGGGAACGCTGACAGATCTGGGGATGGTCAGACTCTAATTAAATCCTGTGGGTCTGACCATGTCTTTCACTTGTGGGTTTCTGCCTCCCCATGGGGCAGGGGACAGCTAGTCACCTCCACCGCAGTATTCCTTATTTCCTAAACCACAGGTCCCACAGTGGGCCCTCTAAGTGGGGAGATGGAACAGGTTAGCTCAGCAGCTATTAGCAGTTTCATTACCTATCTGATGCAGACCCCCCTTCTTGGAGGGGAATCTCCCTTTTAATTGAATCTCTGGTAATGGCAGGACCATATTAATACAAGACGGATTTTGCAAGCATTTGGGGATCCTGACAGTGCATGTCACTTTGCAGGATCAGGGCTTTAAATTGTAAACTCCTTCAGGGCAGGGCTCCTGCGTTTTTATCTCTTTCGTCCAGGATCTTGTGTGCTGGAAAAATAGCAAGTGTTAATCTGCTATATATTTTAGAGAGTTTGTCTATCTGTTTGATCAGGGACGCCTCCTAAATGGTAAGAGTGAGGACCGCCAAATTCAGTATACAGTTTCCTTTTATCATAACTTGAAACAAGGGTTTGGTTGTGCCAGGAAAAAGGGATGTGCCTGCAATGGGATGGCTTCTCATAAAAACAAACAGAAATACGACAGGCTCACTAAAACAAGTAGAGTTCTCAAAATTTGCTTAACGGAGAGAATGCAGAAAGAGACTGAACCAAGATGAGCCAGAAAAATAGGACGAACCTGAAATAGGATTGCTTAGAACATGAGAACATAAGAACGGCCATACTGGGTCAAACTCAGACCAAAGGTCCATCCAGCTCAGTATCCTGTCTGCTGACAGTGGCCAATACTAGATGCCCCAAAAGGAGGGAACACAACAGGTAATCCTCACGTGATCCCTCCCCTGTCACGCACCTCCAGAGAAACAGAGGCTAGGGACACCATTCCTACCCCTCCTGGCTAATAGCCATTGATGGATCTAACCTCCGTGAATCTATCTAGCTCTTTTTTGCTTCTAAATAAACCTTACAGAAAAGAGATCAAGCGGAGAAATTTGGAGCAGTGCTTT